TAAGGCGATTTAATACATAATGCAAAAAACTTAGCTCGGATGATATTTTAAATTTTCGTAAAGTTTTTTAAAACTCGAAAAAGTACACATTGGAGATAAACTAAACTTAGTAGTGACTTATTTTAAGCCCCGACAGTATACATAAATATATGTGGAACATAAATAAAAAGTTCTACATAGAAATGCGTGCATATGTACGTACAGTACATCAATTGCTAATTAGAAATTGGCCCACTTATGTTAATGCAGGCTGGATGATATGTTAATGTAGGCCAGATAATGTGCTTAAGCAGGCGAGATAATCTTAAATTAAAAATCCTGCGCGGGATTTTTTTGAATCATACTACAAAATAACAAACAATGTGTAAATACTGCAAAATAAACACTAAACAATTTCTTATCATCATTAATACAAGCTCTACCTGTTTACTTTATTAATTTTCTATTGAGGGATCCCAGATTTCCGGGTCGTAACGTCGTGGTTAGGGTCGGGGTTAGGACTGGGTTAGGGTTAGCAGAAGCTATAGGCTATAGTAAAATTATCAGCTGGGCACTTTTCACTTAATGAACGACTATTGTTTCATTAGTAAAATTCTTAGTGATCTTGGGGCAAAATCAATCAACTCCGGCCCTTCCGACCAGAGTCCCGAAGCTTCCGACCCGGAATTCTGGGTCCTGTAGGAGTTCTATATTATAATATTAAATCGATAAAACTTTGAGAATTGCATTAAACTTAATATGTAACAAGTTCATATAGTAATAAAATACAATGTAACGTCTCTATTTTGACTCCCTTTAAACAACTCAAGTGCCTAGTTTCCTTATAAGAATATATAAATCTCAAAATAACAATTTAAAATATGGAAAATAAACCAAAGATAAGCCAAATTTGTCGTTCTCATGGGATTTAACAATATGACTTATTGATATTACATAATTTAGATCAATCGTATTTTTGGCGTATTGTTCCTAATTGAGGGTTTTATTTGATTACTGGGAAATCTTATCTCTTCGTCAATATATAAGTTTGTGGTAGCTATAAGTAATTCTCGTTTATCTGTTCTTGAATAAATATATATTATTGATTTTAAGAAGATATTTTTGTAGTTTAGTACGTACTAAAAATTATTCTAAAACCAATTCATCATGTCTGAACAAATCAAAGAATTAATTAATAGAAATCAAAAATGGGCGGAGTCTAAGAAAGCCACAGATCCTGATTATTTTAAAAATATAGCAAAAGGCCAGAAACCAAAATTTATTTGGATAGGTAAGGTCAAAAAAGATAATTTCTTTTATATTGACTTTTTTAAAAAAAAACCTGGTCGTAATATGCCTGTAAATAATTTATATTACATATCTAACACGACGGATATATAATTAATTATAATTTTAAATTACTCGAATCTAAGGTTGCTCTGACAGCAGATTGCCACTGGAAATAATAACTCAATCGAATATTGGAGAAATTTTTGTTCTTCGAAATATCGCTAATCAGGTTCATACTACCGATTTAAGTGTATTGTCAGTATTAGAATATGCAATAAACCATCTTCACGTCAAACAAATAGTTATTTGTGGTCTGTGTTAAACACTTTAAAATTTTATGAAATACTATTAATTTATTAAAGTACACTGCAACGTTAATTTTACACTATAGGCAATTACGTATGTGGCGGTGTTCACGCATCAATTAGTAAGTATTTAAAATGAAATTCTTATTCTACCAAATCGAAATATTTTAAAGACTTACATCTTTTCATCTTTACAGAGAACAATAATGATAGTGTCGTTGACCATTGGCTACAAGATCTTAATGAGATTTATTTGTCTAATAAATTTCAATTAAATGATAAACCATCAAAAGAACGTGAGAATCTTTTAGCTGAACTTAACGTCAAAAAACAAGTTTGCAATCTTGCTGCTACAAATATTGTCCAAAAAGCATGAAACAAAAATGTTAACATCGTTATATATGGATTGATTTACGATCTAGAAGCAGGATTAATTAAAGATCTCAATGTTGATTACAAAGTATTTTCTCATCTTATTACTGTAAAGCAAGCTGCAGTAATCTCTTCCTGGATTGGTCGACATTCATCTCTATATGATATTGCGGAAATTCCATATAAATTTGAATTACTATTAAGAGGTAGCAGAGATGGGTTTACAAGTGATAAGTTTCATGAACTTTGTGATGAAAAATCTCCTACATTGGTTGCTTTAAAAGTCAAAAATACAAACGAGATAATTGATGGATATAATCCTCTTAAATGGGGTGATTGTAAAAAGGTCACATGGTCTAACACATCTGATAGCTTTATTTTTTCTTTAAATGGTAAAAATCCAGAAAAATCTATTCTTAGCCGTGTAACAAATCCATCGAAAGCAATTTATTATGATAATTATAATCGTGGCCCATGGTTTTATCATTTTGGACTGTGTGATGATTATTCACCTGATAAATGGCAATATCATCATATAAACAATGGTGATAAAAATAATTATAATATTAGAATCAAATCTAGTGATGGTTATTTTTCTGTAGATGACTATGAAGTATTTCAAATTATCTAAAACTAAAAATGCTAAAACAGAGAATTAGGGACCTCGATTTAAAAATATAATCTCTACCAAAATCTACTTATACTGAGGTGATTCTGAATTGAGGGTTAAGTTTCTGATTTCGAATTAAATTAGTGATGTATTTATTTCGAAATCAGTGGTTCATAATTTAGTATATTTTGATTTGTAAGCTTATTTATACTAGGTAAATGGAAACTATTCAAAGTCCGAAGGACCAAATATAAATTTTAAATTTAATTTATACTATATTATATATAAATTTGACTATAATAATAAACGTGTCAGTTTGTTTTTTATGTTACGCCTGATCTAGCCAATAAATGTTAGTTTCGGTTGTTTTTTTAAAAATATTTTACGTTACACCTGATCTAGCCAATCATGTTTCAGAATTTGTTAACACACGGACATCGGGTGTACTATTGCTCTACCTGTAATGTCCTTCGGACAATAACTTTTGATAATCTGAATTTCTTTCGAGATTTGATTTCTTTTCATATATATTCTAAAATGCATTAGATATTAAAAACATAAATAGCATTTTATAAGTATTAATAGAAGAATATTCTAATAATGCTCATAAAAATATAGCCAATATTCTCGAAAAGGAAATCAATGAACTGTTGGAACTATTGCAAACAATTGAATTAGATTGATATCTTACTTCTATATAAGAACAACCTCTTTATAAGCACATTTTTTAAACAAAGTTTCTATACTCCCAACTAAGTGATTATATACTGTATATGTTATGATTATAACCCAACACCTGTTTTATTATAATAAAATGGTGTTAGATTATAATCATAACATGTGCTAGCGGAATGATCTGGTATTGTAAATGATTTTATATGTTGCACACCAGGTGAGGGATCAGTCGTGTAACATCAATGTTTCTTCCTGTTGTTAGAATAGCAATACGTACTTTCTCATCCTAACATTAATCGTAAAGAGCTGTTGGAATGATTTTATAATACGAACTTTCTTGTCTTAACACTAATCGTAAAGAGCTGTTAGAATGATTTTATAATACGAACATTCTAATCCTAACATTAACCATTAGAGTTCCAATCTGTTAAGTGTATAACCGGATAATTATCAGATATTTGGATCTGAATTTATTCATTATTCGTTTACCATTGATATCCGGATAATTATTCGAATACCTTTCGGATTATTCGGATATCTGAGCGTTCTGAGTTATCTGGATTATTCAGATATGAACGATGGATTTACCCGAATTGGAAGCCCACTAACCATAAAGAGCTGTTTGAATGATTTTAGAATACAAACTTTCTCATCCTAACACTAACTGTAAAGAGCTATTAGATGATTGTATTATTTTATTTACTGTATTTACTGTAATGATTGTTTTTATGTTACAGCGATGATTAGCTAAAACTCACATGACTGCTGTCTTCTTTCAGTTGACAGTGGGTCAACAGATAGAAAAGACTGCTAAGCAGTGATGCATTAGCAAGTGACGATCAAATGGGTAGTCCGGCTCCAACAAGAGAATCCGGTATATGTAAGGAGGAAGATAAGTATAAATTTAATGAAATTACTTTTAGGAGTTTATGACGTGAATGCTAATATATCCAAATTTAGCAGAGAACGTATGACAATAACATAACCAGTTTGTGAAACATCGATGATTAGCATAATAAATAACTATATAGACTAATATAGCTAAGTGATTAATATTGACAAAATATATCTATCATTCGTACTGTTAGGTAACAAATCCTTTGTATTAAATTAATACACTAACTTAAATATATTATTGATAAATACATAGCAAAGTGATACAAAAATTCTGTTTTTGATGCACATATGTAGTCATGTTTAATACATTTATAGTTCTGAATGCAAAAGCATAACTCTGAACTTTCTGTGTCTCCATTTGCATGTTACATGTTTGTGCAAAATAAGAAATCGCTCCGGACTTACAACAGTTTCCATTTCCTAGTGTAATCATTTTGCATTCGAGTCTCGTTTAACAAATATTCAGACCTACAGAGGGTAACATAGTCTAACTTAGACTAGATTAGTGCACCGATTAGGTAGGGTCAGAACCCGACACATAAGTTAAAGAATGGCATTCAAAATTAGATTTTTGGACTGACGATTTTTTCCTTTGACTTTTTTTTTTGTTGTATGTTCTTTTTACCTTGGTAGACATTTACGTTGAATAGTTAAAATAAAAAAGTGCCCTAAGTTAACTTTGCGTAATTTTCTGTTAAATAAACTTTATTATGTTTTGTTTAAAATATTAAAAAACTTATTGTAAGAATTTCATGTTACACACAACTGTTGATAAATAGATCACTCTATGTATTTCCGTTTCATAGATTTCAAATTTAGTTAATAAGAGATTAGTGAAGATAAACTTCGGACAAAACTATTTTGCGAATTCCAGATACAAAATTATCACTTGTCGTATGCAATGATTTTTTATTGTAAGCGTATTGGCACTTTGCTCATTACAAATCATCCATGTGGACTTTATTGTTGACTCATGACCTACTTACCAAATTTGTTAACATATGCTATGCGAGGATCTTCATAAAATAAAAGAAAAAAAAAGAGCACCAATTTTTTAAAAAAAGATATCTGATTCTATAGAAAGATTCGTTAAACCTTATTATCTCTTATATTTTATTCATCTTTATTTAAAGTAATACGCGCAATTTTTGGGGGTTACTGTATTTATATCCCAGTTATAATTAAATTTGGAAATATAAAATAAATTTCCATGATTTTTATCTAGGTGATAAATATAATTTAACTATATGTAACTAAGTAAATAAATGACGCTGTTTAATAATTGGTTAGCCTTATTATAGTATTGATCCTTTTTTGCTACACAGATCTACACTGCATTATGCATTTATTGTTACACTGGAAACACGCTTGTTCCTAAACCGGAATAGGTTACACAAAATCGATTCATTTTATCATTAGGTTTAGGTTATAGTAGGCAATTACCTTCCCAATATTTTTTAAAGCGCTCAAAATAGGTTGCATGGTTTGCTTTGTCGGGCTAATTCGGCTAGTCAAAATTCATGATTTGATTGGTTGACTACACATCATTTTACTCTTTAGAACAGAATGGTCGGTAAAACTTTCGACAACAATCTTAATATTTTATACAGATATACCACTATAATCTTTCAATTGATAATAAATTCAAATCAGTATTTTTGATTTAGTTGATTTTTTTTTTGTTGTAATTATTATAAAAATAGTTTTGATCACACACACAACCGGATCTACACATTGCATAATAGAACAAATAACGATAATAACGAATGAATACATAGCGATAGTAAAGTTAATTTATTAGCGCTAATTCTGTAGATCACTTTAAATTATTATTATTACAAATCAATATCATAGCTACCTTTACTAAAGGTGATCCCTTTGGGTATACCCGCATGCACCCTACACACAACTATAATATAGGACACTTGAAGAACAAGGTACCCAATGCTCATTTGTTACTAGCATTAAAAAATTGCCTAAACCATACTATCACTTAACACTAAGTATTTAATCATGTGATGCGATTATTATGAAAGCATCATAGGGTTCTCTGTATCCGATAAAAACAGTTGATGGGAATGTATTTTATCAAAGTCTTTATAACTGAAAAATAAAATAGAAATATCTCTATTTGACATATAAATAAAAAATCTCGTTATAATTATTGTCAATTCTTCTACGAACATGAGATTGCTGAGTGACTTATATAAATTACATGGTCTGATACGCACCCATGGAATAGCCGCAATCAGTAATTATAAATGCTCAGAGTGTTCAAAATTAGAAACTTAATTAGAACTTAAATATTTTGTAATAAATATTTTGTAGAAAATGTTATGCAAAGGGGTCTATTATTTCCTTGGCGGTTATTCTATCGACTTTAACCATTACCCTAAATCAGTTAACCCCAACTCTAAATTACAGTAATCCCGCTAAATTCCCTAAAATAAACAGATACATCTAACCAATTGATTTATGCTTTTTATTTATTCTACTGATATTCTGATAGGTTTAATCGTGCCCATTGCAAATAACGCGTTGTTTGAGTTCCACATTGTTTTAATATTATAATTTAATAATTATTTTGATCTTGTCACCATTTATATCGAGCAGAAAACCAAACCTTTTATTATTTTCATGAAACTTTGTTAAACTTACTCAATTTATTTAAGCATATCAGATAATATGATTCAGGTTGTAGTTTACTCTCCATAAACAATATTAAGTCTAGTCTGCAAACACCATACGTTCATTAAAACTATTTTCTCGTTTATAATTTAAGTAATTAGTTAAATAATAATTAAAAAAGGACTGCATAATTT